AGCCTGCTCCCAAACGAGGCCTTAGTCTCATATATTTATAATTTTATTCTATAAAATATTTTTTCTTAATTTATACTATTTTCTTAAACTCTTATACCCTTATATTTAATATTGATATTTAATGTTGGGGGAGGAGAGAGAAGAGAAAGAATCAATGCATAGGAAATTTCATACACAAATTAAATAACATTGATGTTATTATTTTATATTATAATATAATGTGAATATATTTTTAATTCATAACACATTAAAAATAATAAAAACATTTTCTTTCATTTGATATGAATATATTTTTAATTGACAACACATCAAAAATAATGTGAACGTTCTCTCTCATCTAATGTGAACGTTCACAACACCTTTTCAAAAAATTCTCTTTCATCTAATATAGTGACGTGAATCTTCTTATTTTTAATTGACAACACATTAAAAATAACGTTCATTATATTTTTAATTGACAGCACATTCTTATTCACAACATGTGAACATTCTCTCTCATCTAATGTAGTGATGTGAACGTTCACATTCGTATGTTTTAATATGAATATTCACATCATATAATTGGTAACACAATGACAAAAATTTATTTCAAATTAATGTGAATATAATGATGAGAATATTCATTTCAATTACATGATGTGAATATTCACATCATGTACACAATGACAAAAATTCATTTCAAATTAATATGAATATAATGACAGTCAACATCCTGATGCATGAGAACTACCAAAACATAATAACAATCAACATTAAGTATCAATATTAATAGGGGTAGGAGAGATTGATGGTGTTTTGATCTTCTTACCTCAAATAAGATCTAATGGAATAATAAAAAAGAATAAGGTAAATTACACTGACACCCCCCTAAGGGTTTATGTTTATCACAATTCCTCCCTCACCTTTTGGAAACTACATCTCTTTCCTTGAGGTTTAAAGTTTCATTACAGATTCCTCATTCAGCAATTTATTTTTTTTTAAATACCAATTTTGTCATCACTGGGTAAATTACATTGACACCTCTTGTATTTTAGAAATTACAATCCCCTCCCTAAGGTTTAAAGTAGCATTACCAATTGGCCCATCGGTTAGTATTAGTTGGAAACAAAATTAATTGAAAAAAAAATTAATTTGGAAAAAAAATTAATTAAAAAAAAATTTTGTTAGTAAAATTTTTAAATTTCTGTTTAAAAACCAATGTAAACTCATTTTTTGAATTTGTGTTTTTTCCTCAAATTTACAAACTGAGACAACAATTTATAAATACAAAAATAATTAAATAAGATTTTATGACAGCTTTTTAAATTTTTGTAAATATGAATTGAAAACTGAAAACGAAATGGTTACCAAATAGGTGTCTGATAGCAAAAAATTCGTAAAATTAACAAATAATTAAATAATTACAAACGTAAGAAATGACTTATTAAAAGATTCTTAAGCTATGTATGGTTTGATTTTTAGATTTTTTTTTAAAATTAAAAATTAATTTGGTTAAGAAATAAAAAATAAAAAATAATTATTATTTAAGGGTAAAAAATAATTATTATTTTAACTTTTGGGCAGGTTATATATATACGTATGACTGTTTCAATTTAATTTATAAAAAAATTATTTCTAACCACTCGAAAGATAAAAATTATATAAAAATGATAATTATTTTTTATTTCTTAACCAAATTAATTTTTAATTTTTAAAAGAAATTTCTAAAAATTAAACCATACATAGCCTAAGAATCTTTTTATAAGTCATTTTTTACGTTGGTAACTTATTTAATTATTTGTTAATTTTACGACTTTTTTTACCATCTGAAATTTGTTTGATAACTATTTCGTTTTTAGTTTTCAATTTATATTTACAAAAATTTTAAAAACTATCATAAAAATTTGTTTGATAATTTTTTTGGTTTACAAATGGTTGTCTTAGTTCGTAAATTTAAGGAAAAAACGTAAATTCAAAAAATAAGTTTACGTTGGTTTTTAAATAGAAATTTAAAATTAATTTTTTTTTCAAATAATTTTTTTTTGTCAATGAATTTTTTTTCCCAACTAATACTAATCGAGGGGACAATTGGTAATGCTACTTTAAACCTTAGAGAGGAGATTGTAATTTTTAAAATGTGAGGGGTGTCAACGTAATTTATCCAGTGAGGGCAAAATTGGTATTTAAAAAATTAAATTGCTGAGGGAGAGAATTTGTAATGAAACTTTAAACTTTAGGGAGAGAGATGTAATTTCCAAAAGATAAGGGGGAACTGTAATAAACATTAATCTCAGGGGGTGTCAGTGTAATTTATCCAAAATAATATGAATTAGATGGAATAAAACTCTTAGAAAGATGATTTATCAAAAAAGTTCCCAAAATAAAATATCATGGTTTTATAATTATTTTAAAAATTTATATTTCTAGTGTAATTAAAAAAGTATTCTTCATCTTTTGTAATTTTTGCTAGTTCAAATTATTTTCTTTGTTTTTTTTTTGAGTAAACTATAAATATATTTCTAAGATTTATTTAAAATATAAATTGTCCCATGTCGCTTGAAAAATTACAAATACTCCATCGTCATAAATTTTTTATTTAACATAATTAACTGAAAAAATATTTTTTTTAAATACTCTCCTATATAATAATAAAATTACATGTATTATTAATTTAAATAAAATTTTAATATCAATAAAAATTATTAATTAACTTGATGATTTATTAATAAAAGAAGTCATTTGTTTAAAAATCAAAACTTGAAAGGATGAGATATAATTTTCAAAATTATAATTTTTTTTTTTTAATTTTCTAAAAAAGTATATATCAAAAAACATTTTGCTCTCTCTCTCTCGAGGCTAATCTTGAGCTCACGAACGCACGTGATGATGTTGGGGGCAATTTGAAAAGCTAATTAAAAGTTAATTTTTAATTTTTTAATCTATTATTTTTACACATAAAAAATAAAAAATTCATAAAAATAAAAAAATTAACTTTTAATCAACTTCTCAAATCACTCCATTAAATGAAAGGCATTGGTTTTCCTCTAGTCCCAGATCAGATTAGGGGGTGATGTTGGGCTCATAGAGGACCACCACGGGCCCTGTTTCAATAATTCGAACTATTCAATGGGTAGACGTGATGATGTTGGGGCAATTTGAAAAGCTAATTAGAAGTTAATTTTTAATTTTTTAATCTATTATGAATCATATCATTTTTTATTATTTTTACACATAAAAAAATAAAAAAATCATAAAAATAAAAAAATTAACTTTTAATCAACTTCTCAAATCACTCCATTAAATGAAAGGCATTGGTTTTCCTCTAGTCCCAGATCAGATTAGGGGGTGATGTTGGGCTCATAGAGGACCACCACGGGCCCTGTTTCAATAATTCGAACTATTCAATGGGTAAAACTCATTGAGTAATATATGTCTAATGAAAAGTCACGTTGAATAGATATCGATAGTTACGTAATCAAATCAGTTTTATATAAAAAAAAATAGACGGTGAAAAAATAAATAATTGACAGAAAATTGATCCGATGAGATAGCTATTGATATCCGATCAACGTAATATTTTTCAGACATATAATACTCGATAAATTTTACACATTGAACGATTTAAATTATCAAAATAATACTTATTATAAGGCCTCGTTTGACAAGTTAATATTTTAATAAAAAAGTCAAAAAATTATTTAAAAAGTAAAAAAATCTATAACTTATATCAAAAAGTCAAAGATTCTCTTTTTTCTCTACTTTTTGCATATATTTTCATAAAAAGTTAAAAAATTATCCTAAATATACTAATTTTTTATCTTATATTTTAATCAAAAAATTACTAAAATAATTTATTTCCAAACGAAGCCAAAATCTCTACAAATCCAAAAGCACCTCTCAATCTGATCTGGACGGAAGGGAAGCAGGGCCTATATGTAAACGGGATTGCGTGCACCAACTGTTCGCATGCTCACAACGGTTTCTTTTCTTTTGTTTGCTCTAGCCTAGCTTTGCTTTCACTCCTCATAATCAAATTCCAATTCGCGGATTACTCGGCGCTTTGTCCCTTTTCCGCCAAGTCAATTCACTCTCACTCTCCTCCCCATCCCCCACCTTATCCCCTCTCTCTCTCTCTCTCCCATAGCTATTGTTATCCCATTATCCTATCCGGGTTCAGCTGGTGTCATCGAATTAAACGGTACTATTAAATTTGTAAAGGCCGTTACATTTTGATAATTTAAATTGTTTAATATGTAGAACTTGTCGAGTATTATATATGATTATAAAAAATTATATTGATCAGATATCGATAGTTATATGATCAAATCAATTTTATATATATAAAAAATAGACGTGACCAAGTTAATGGTTGACGAAAAACTATTTTGATCATATAACTATTAATATTTAATCAATATAACTTTTTACAAATAAATTTTTATACTAAACTATTCGAATTATCAAAAAGGAGATACTGAGCTTTCACGGGTGCAATAGCACCATCCAGTCGGAGATCGGACACAAGCTGCTCCCTATCCTATATATCAACAATGATTCATCTTACTAAAAATATCACCACTAATAACATTAATGCATTAAACTATTTTGACCATATAATTATTAATATTTAATCAATATAACTTTTTACAAACAAATTTTTATATTAAACTATTCGAATTATTAAAAGAAGAGATACTGAGCTTTCACGGGTGCAATAGCACCATCCAGTCGGAGATCGGACACAAGCTGCTCCCTATCCTATATATCAACAATGATTCATCTTACTAAAAATATCACCACTAATAACATTAATGCATTAAAAAAATAAAAAAAATTACAACTCCAAGATCAAAACATCACATCATTCATGACTAATAACACTAATGCATTAAAAAAATAAAAAAAATTACAACTCCAAAATCAAAACATCACATCATTCATGACTGAGACTCACTGCCACCTAATTAGTGGGAGCACTAATTAGTACACCAAGCATTTTTCCCTATATATATATAATATTGAAAATTGAGTGCTGTGCAAAAGTAATGGCAATTGGGCTTTGACGTCCCCATCTTCCCAAATCAACCGATTCTGTGCCTTCCACCTCTCTCTCTCTGGGCTGTTTCTTTCCCTTTCTGGGTTAAGAACAATCTTTTCCAATTCTAATGGAAGGCTCTGCCAATGAACGTCTTTATTTTGGGAAGATGGGTTATGGGTACCCCCTTTTCTTTCTCTTTCTCTCTGTATTTATTATGCTGTTTGATTGGTGGGTTTGAGTTCTTTTTGATGATTTGTTTGTGTTTTGATTCTCTTCTCTCTATCTACCTATACATATATATGTGCATTTCGCATATTCATGCATTTTTCTACTGTTTGATTGGTGGGTTGAGTTTTATTTGATGATTTGCTTGTGTTTTGATTCTGTGATTTGTGATTTGTGGTTTTTTTTTTTTTTTTTTGTGGGATAGATGCAAGCATTATAGAAGAAGATGCAAGATCAGAGCTCCTTGCTGTAATGAGGTCTTCGATTGTCGTCATTGTCACAATGAAGCCACGGTATTTGGATCACATTTCCTGTCTTATCTCTCTTCTTAGCTCAAGATTTACATCGATGTACCTGTTTTTTTTATCTGAGTTTTTATTGTTTTAGCTTGTTTGATTAATTATAGCATTCTTATAGGTCGTTTTGCACAAATCTTGTATTTTTTTTGGGTATATAACATGTATCTATGGATCTGTTTTTAATGTGGGTATTTGTTGTTTTTACCTTTTTCTGTGTGGATTCATTAGAGCATGTTGAGCAACCCCATTGATCAGCACGAACTAGTTCGAAGCGATGTTAAGCAAGTATGTGTAATCATGGATATATTTGTTTCAATATCTGTTCATTTGTTTATTTAATATTTAGCTTTTACTGTCATCAAGTTGTGATTAAGAGCCATGGATTTTGCATTGCTGTTTCAGGTTATTTGCGCAGTGTGCGACACAGAGCAACCAGTATGTCTCTTTTAGATTTGTTCTTTGTTGTTCTGTTTTTGATTAATCTTCCAATTGATTTTATGGATATTTATCTTGGTTGTAACCAGGTTGCTCGTGTTTGTACGAACTGTGGAGTCAATATGGGAGAATATTTCTGTGAAGTGTGCAAATTCTTTGACGATGATGTATGTTAACTGTTGTGACTTATCTTCGCTGTAATTAATGAAATTAAAATTGAAAATCGAATCATGTGAGCTTGTTTAGTGTTGTTGATCTTTCAGTCAGTCCACCTTTGCTCAAGAAGAGCAAGGATTGTATACAAACTTATGATGACTTGGGATGTTATTGTTGATTTTGTTTCTTGCAAAGGCTAATTACTATGTACACTTGTTGCAGATTGACAAAAGGCAGTTTCATTGTGATGATTGCGGGATCTGCAGGTTATTCAGCAAAGTTTGATGATTTTTCTTCTCTGTTTCTTATTTGTGATATTTGAAATTGTTCTCATCTAAATTTTTTTTATGTTTTATTTCAGAGTTGGTGGTCGTGAGAACTATTTCCACTGTAAGAAGTGCGGTATGCATCCGCACCCATAGTGTGCTTGTTCTTTACTGCAACTACAAACCAATTATTTTAAAAAAGTTATTGTTTGTTTTGTTTTTTAATATTGAAGAAATGTTAAATCACCAGCCACCAAGTGTGCCACAAACGTTGCATTTGTTAGTTCATCAAGAACTTATAAAATTGCTGGTATTACCCCTTGATTACCCAATGTTTGGATGGTTCAACTTCCTGCTTCTATCCCCTCAAAAAAAAAAAAAAAAAAAAAAAATAAAAAAAAAAAAAAAAAAAACCTTCCTGCTTCTATATATTGACTAGGCTCTGCGCAAGGCAACAATATCTATGCAGGTGAATAAATCACATTTCCTTTTTTCACTAACCAATCAGTTCGTTATAGCTGTTTTAGTTTTGTCAATCTCTAAGGATGAGTCCTTGTTTATTACTTGGACCGCTTTGTCTTTTGAACTTGGGCATCTTTATCAATCTTAATACTTTTCTCTTCGCCGTCTTAAAAAATCTCCTTGATTTTACTATTCCTTTCAGTTACTATTTAATTGTTGCATGCAATGCATAAAACCTTTTTTTTTTATTTCTTTCCTTTTTTTTTGCAGGATCATGTTATGCAATTAGTCTGCGTGACAATCACTCGTGTGTGGAAAACTCCATGCAGCACCACTGTCCCATATGTTACGAGGTTTGCTTTCTAACTTGCTAATACTTTTGATCATTTTTTAACAGCTTAAAAGTTTGCAATATCTTCACATTGGCATGATTGTTTTTACAGTATCTCTTTGATTCATTAAAAGACACTATCGTTATGAAATGTGGGCACACAATGCACTGTGAATGTTACCATGAGATGATGAAGCGTGACAAGTAAGCATTTATATCATTGTAAAATTACTTTATATTCCCTTGTTTGTTTACCATTGAAAAATAGTTGTTATACTCTTACTTGCCTTGAAAATGTCACTCAGATATTGCTGTCCCATATGCTCAAGGTCAGTTATTGACATGTCTATAGCCTGGAAGAGAATAGATGAGGAGGTGGGTTGAATAGATGCTCATTGATCAATACACTTAAAACTTGAACTTATTATTTTCTTTGTTTTTGGTAAAACAAGCTGTCATCCTGTTTATACTAAAAATACTCATATGCATCAATTATATTTAACATGAAAGATTTCATAGCTACTTTTACCAAGCTGTTACTATTATCTTATCCGTGGATTATTCCAACTGTGATTTGCTCAACTTGGAAGTTTTCTTACTTTTGTTAGATTGAAGCAACCGTCATGCCTGAGGATTACCGTTACAAGAAGGTAGGTACTTCCATTTCATCCTTGTTAGATATGTTAAAAACTTGTGCCATTTGTTAATATATAGTAAAATTCGGCGCAACTTGAGGATATGCTTGTGATGTAGCATGACTTTTATGAGGAATTCTTCAAACTCACGATGGACAAAATAATGTGATGGTTTGTGTTTTTGTGTGTTGGCTTTTTGAATTTATTTATTTATTTTAATATTATGTTATAAAGATGAAAAAGATGAAAGAGAGAAAATAGAATATAGGAGAAGGAGAGTAATGAGATAAGATAGGAGAAGAAGATAAAGAAGAGAGAAGAAGAAGTAGCAAGAAATCAAAGAAGAGTCAAGGAGGAGATTAGAGAGAATAGAGATTGGAGGGAAGAGTAAGAGATTGAGAGTAAAGAAGAGATAAAGATAGAGAAGAAAGCAGTCACAAAGAAGAGGAGGAAGAATATGAAGGGAGGGAGAGGGCGCAAGATCTATCAATCAAATCTGAATTATTTATTTTTGGGAGGCTGAATTTGTTTTACGACAATATAGTCTATTTGTAGGTTTAAGAAACTTCGAGAAAGCATAGAAACCTTATAAAACTCTTCCTAATAGAGTTTGCTTCCTATCACTAAAGCCAGTAAAAAGTCTTAAAAGAAAGAAAATATAATAAAATTATCTAAATGACTCCTAATAACACTTAAAGCTATTGATCAATTTATCATCTTCCAACTTGACTTTGCAGATCATTATCACTTTTAAATTCAGCTCTTCAGAGATCTTCAACAGAGATCTACAAGCATGTAGATATGCTAGATAAATAATTATACTTCATATATGACTAGATATAAGTACATAACCGTTAATGCCTCCTTTAGGTTGATTCTCCCATTCCTAAACATTCCTCAACACCAACCTCAGTAAAAAAGATGGACAATGAGGGGGAAAAAAGAGAAGGGAAAACTACAATACAGTGGGATAGAGAAAAAAAATTACAAAAACATGTGAGATGCAAGTAATTTTGTGATGAGGTGCAAGTGAAATGCTGTGGGGTGCAAGTCTTCCATGCTTGTGTAAAAAAAATTGTCTGTCCCACTGGGATGTAATTCCTCCAAAAAAGAAAGGAAAATTGGATTCATCATGCACAAAATCACCTCGTCAATGTCAATTACGAGAAAGAGTAAACAATATACAAACAAAATTCATACAGATTTTTCTTACAGAATGATATGATTCAATGTGAACCTTTTTTTTTAAAACAAAACACCCATAAAGATAACTTTTATTCACAAAACTACTATTGTCACATCATTCTTGTGGTGTTTTTTGCACGAATAAAGTTTTAATATTGCATGTAAAGATCCCATTTCATGTTTGCTTGTTTTGTTTCTGATATATCAGAACATCTCCTGTTCGGTTTAGTGAATCATCTTTATTGGCTTTTAATTACACTAAAATTGCATTTAAGTTGAAGAATCTGAGAAACATAAAATTTGCAGGTTTGGATTCTATGTAATGACTGCAATGACACGACTGAAGTTTTCTTCCACATAATTGGACAGAAATGCAGCCACTGCAAATCATACAATACAAGAACAATTGCACCTCCGGTTCTTCCTCAATGACCAGGTTATGCTTTCCGAGGCAAATATTTTACTGTCTACATGCACTGAAAAAGCTCATGCCTGAGCTAGAAAGAGGAGGGAGGGGGCGGTTTCTAATTGCATCTTCGACCAATTTCTTGTTTTCCTTCTTTATACATGCCACACTGCCATTGCATTATGATTCAAACTGTAGCATTTATACTTGCCTGCTAGACAAAACGTTTTCTGTGGTATTCTTCTCTGATTATTTGGAGTTTAAAAAAAAAAAAAACCCATTTGAATGACTATGGGTTACTGTACTCTTGATGTACACACTGTAATGTGAAAGAAAGGGGTTGCTGTTTATTCTGTTAATTATACCGGGAATAGTGTTGACTAATTATAATATTCATGCATTGTGGTTGAACTTTTGCTACCCATATCCTTGCATATGTTTTATTGATGATAATGTGCAGCAATATGAAATTGCTGATGGATCTCATGAGGATCGGACAGCCCCAAATGTATGTGAGCATACACTATGAGCAGAGGATGGTAAACCGATGCAAATTCATTCAATGAATGGCAAAAATCTTCAGAACATTGTATGAAACTAACACTCTGTATGTTGCTCTTCATACTCGGAATTAGGGGAAGTTTATCATAAGCATACTTTGGGCTTGTTTGTTACAGCTTAAATGATTTGCTTATTTTATATTATGCGGTAAAAATAGCTTAAATAAGTTGATTATCCTAAGTTATGAGAGGGATGCTTTTAGACCTTGCATAATAATCGTACACAACTTGAGCTTCCGAATGTTGTTGATTGATTCATCCTTTATCTAGGATTTTTGCCGGAGGGGCATGCCCTGTGATGTAGATGATTTTTTTTTTCAATTTAATATGCATTCATTAATGAAATTTAAGCTGATAGAATGTCTTGATAGACTTACTTGCAATTTGTGTATTGAGTATCTATGTTTCTTGACATGAAGCTTGTACCTTTGTTTCTTCTCCTCCCAAGGGTCCTAATTTTCACTTGTTTGTATCATTGCAAACATTTTTTTATAGGTGCTTTATCTCAGGCTATTGGAAATGGGTTTCATATTTGTGATGCCATTGGATTTTCTTCTTCTATCACACTTTTTTTTTTTTTTTTTGGGTAGTAATTTCTTGTGAATGTTTTGATTGGACTATTTTTGAATTTTTTTTTGGATTTTATTCTGTTGGTTGTGTTTTTATTCTATCTTTTTATTTTTATGGAAGAAAGTTATTCTTATTGCGCATTAGGAGGATAACTCTACATATATAGAATTAAATTACAAATGAAATAAAATAAAATTCAAGAATGTACATATGAGGATGATGGGACCTGCCTACGGTAGCAGTTGGCCTTTTGAGTAGGGGTGCGCCCGGGTCGGTTGTGGCCACGGAACCTCCAATTCGCCATCCGTCCGCTAGATTAGCGGATTGGAGAAAATCAATCCGCATCCGTCCATCAATCCGGCGGATGTGGATTGAGCGGATTGGCGATTTGGCGGACGGATGCGAATCGGTTTGGCGGTTTAAAATTTTATAAATTTTCAACATAATTCAACTTGTGCACTTAAAAAAAAAAAAAAAAAAAAAGAGAGTATTACAGTCAATGACTTAAAAAAAATTACAATCATTGCATGCCTCATCCAAAGTAAGAAAGTTTAAAACTTTAGAATATCAAAATCATTGCATGCCTCATCCACATACTACAATCACAGCATGCCTCATTCACATAAAATATTACAATATGTGGTTTTTAAAATATAAAAACAATTCAAACTATTAAAACCATGAACAGAGCAGTAGTAGAGAATGTATGTCTGTGTATTGTTACATCGATATCTGTTTTTGAAAACAAAAATCAACCAGCATATATCATATTTTCTATTTATTATTTTTAGAGATATATCTAAAAATTAAAAAATATAGATAAATAATACGTTTATTTTTTTCAATTAAAAAAAGATATTAAAGTTGAAATTTTTTTTTCAACAGAATATTTAAATTCTTTTTTAATTGAAAACACAAACAAAATATTTAAACAAACTGAAAACACAAAGTCTTATAAATTACTAGGGGTGCTCGCGGTTTGGCGGTTCGGTTGCGGCCAAAGGAATCTCAAATCCGCCATCCGTTCGCCAGATTGGCGGATTGGAGAAAATCAATTCGCAACCGTCTGCTGGTCATCACGCATCCGTCCAAAATGCGACGGATTGGTGGTTCGGTCGGTTTTGGCGGATCGGTATATCCGCGGCTCACCCCTACTTTTGAGCACTTTTGTGTGATTTAATTTTTAAGTATATTTGTTGGTTATAATCAATTTTTTTGGTGAAAAGCTACTTATAAACAGTTTTTTTGTGAGAGAGGAAGTGAGTTATAATCTGGGAAGTGAATTATAACCCACTTTCCAAAATAGGCATTTTGAGTTGGAGTTTGAAGGTAGAAGATAAAAAAATTGTTTTATCTTTATACTTATTTTTTAAGGAGAGTGAAAAAAAGTACTACCAAACCACGTAACAACAGGCGAAGTGGATTGCTTGACATGGGAGTTTTATTTATTTATTTATTTCCCTGACATAGGAATTTGGCATTGTTTTTTTTAGTGGCCTTCTGGTTTTATTTTTAAAAAAATTTAAAAAGCTAATACATTTTGAAAAGTTACTAAAAAAAACTAAATTTTTTTTGTAAGTGAACAAGTTAAAAGTGGTTTTAAATTTGTTAATGCTAAATAGATTTTTTGATTTATTTAATCTTAACAAAAAAAAAAAAAACTGATTTATTTAGCCATGTTACTTTTGGTGATCATATTTCTATTTATGGAGGCATTTTGAAGTTGTATTCTTTAGTGGCCTTCTGGCTTTATTTTTAAAAAAATTTAAAAAGCTAATACATTTTGAAAAGTTACTAAAAAAAAACTAGGCCAAGTTTGGGAAGATTAAAAAAGTGTACTTTTTGTTTTTTTGGACTAAAAAATTGAGGTTGAAAATATGGATGTTTGGGTTAACTTTTTGACTTTTTATTGAAAAATGTGTAATAAAAAATTGTAAAAATTAATTTGTAGGAAAAAATTTGAATTGGGAGTTGTGCAGCCGTAATTGTTGACTTTTGATGAATAGTGTTAACTTTTTAACTTTTTGAGTAACTTTTTGACTTTTTAACTTTTTTTAAAGTCCCCAAACTTGGCCTAAATTTTTTTGTAAGTGAACAAGTTAAAAGTGGTTTTAAATTTGTTAATGCTAAATAGATTTTTTGATTTATTTAATCTTAACAAAAAAAAAAAAAAACTGATTTATTTAGCCATGTTACTTTTGGTGATCATATTTCTATTTATGGAGGCATTTTGAAGTTGTATTCTAATGAATTAAAATGAAAAAATGACATCACTGATGAGTTTTAGTTTTGATTTTAGTTTTCAGGAAATACTTTTTAGAAAATTTTATTTTTTTACTTTTCTTATTTTTTGTTTTCAATGATTTTTTTATAATATTTTAAGCTATTTTTAAAATTTTTAGGCACGCCTAACATAAATACACTTAAAAAATATAATATTTTGTGAAAAAAATCTTTAAAAAATTCACTAAATACCAAAAACATAAATAAAAAAAGAAGAAAAATTCAGTATGTTTTTGTGTATTTATTAATTTTTAAAAATATTTTACTATATAGATAAATCTAAGTAAGGTGCATCTAAAAAATAAAAAATTATTTAAAATTTTAAAAATATTTACTAAAAATAAAAAAATACGAAAATTAATAAATTTAATTTTAAAAAATTAAATTCAAAAAAATTGAAATCAAACGCACTTATTGTTATGAACATTGTGGCCAAACACAACCTAACCTAATTATTGATCATCTAAAAGAAGATTAGGTAGTTTTGTCAAACAAACTCAAAAGAAGAATTTTTTAGTTATATTTTCCGGTATTTTCTTTCCATCCAATCATCTATTTTCTGTCACCTCTCTGCCTAATCAACCTACTACCCCATCAGTGTTTGTCAAATGACAGATAAGTACATGAAATTCTAGAAAAATACATTCAATCTCTAATGGGTAGTTTTGTAAATTCATAACTATTGTGGATTTGGCACCACTTTGATGGATAAGAACAACATCTTTATGACATGTACATGTGTGTCAGCAAATTTATCTCTCATCATATTTATTGAATGTTTTTTGAGATTTCGTAACAAATTGTTCATTGTATTTTTTCTCTAGAAGGTTCTGCTTCACAAATGAAGTTTACAAATAAAATCAGTTTACAAATAACATCAGTTTGATTGTGTTTTGTTTTTTTCTGCTTTTATTTTTTTGTAAAACACAGAAAATTTGTTTAGCAAATTAGAAATAAATTTGTTTTGATTGTGTTTTCATTTCCCTTTTTTTTTTTTGAGTTGCAGAATACTTTTGAGAATTAAAAAAAATAATAAATTTAGGGACAATTACAACAACAAAAAAAACTTCATAAGTTGACAATTGTAACAAAATAAATTTTGACTTTTTAATTTTATAAATTTGAGCTATAATCTGTTGATTTATTTTCAATTTATACTATTTACTTATTTTTTTAAAATTGATTTCTTAAAAAAAATTTAATCATTAAATTCAATGAAAAAAGATATTATAAACGTTTCATGTACATTTATATTGAGTTAAATGGTTAAAAATGAAAATAAATGAATAATTTAGATTAAAAATAAATCAAAAAATTAAGACTTGCATTGACAAAATTTAAAACTCAAAATTTATTTTGTCACAAGTGATAATTTTCTCAATAATCTATTATGCATTTTCAGACGGTTTTATTTCAAAAAATACAACCAAATAAATTATCCCATGAAGGTCTTTTATCAAGCTTTGAATGAATGATTTAAAGAATATGAGCCATTAAGAAAAACATTTGAATGGGAGGGAATCGAATAGAAAGAAGGCGAAGTGCTACCACTATAGGGTCTTTTTTTTTGTTTTTTTTGTTTTTTTTTTGGGGGGGGTGGGAGACATGCTTGCTTTTTCACAAGCTTATTCTCGCCTTGATTGGCAGCTACTGGGTCTCCCCATCTCTCCTAAACTTTCCCCGGTCTTCGGCCAGAGCTGTACGAGGTAGAAACTCGTCTAACGTATAGTTCAAAGGCCGAGCCCCATCCCAGCAGTAAGAGTGCGGCTTAGACCAACAAACACGAGACATCTAATTTATCACGTTGAAAAACTATCTTTAATGATCTGTCCGACAGGTATCAAATTTTAATTTGTCAAATATTTCATTATGTGGGGGATTTAATCTCAATGCTACATCATTAGAGATAATTTATGGGTGATAAATTCGAGAAGGGCATGGCTTCTGTTCAGTCCTTAATCGGACTGAACCGTGCTGTTGGGCTCGTGGGGGTCCACCATGGGTCCTGTTTTGATAATCTGAACCGTTCAATGTGTAGAACTCGTCGAGTACTATATGCCTATTAAAAATCATGTTAATCGGATATCGATAACTATGTGATCAAATCAGTTTTGTATATAAAAAAATAGACGGTAAATAAATTAACGGTTGACAAAAATCTATTTTAATCACATAGCTATCAATATCCGATTAATGTGATTTTTTACAAGCATATAGTACTCGACGAGTTTTACACATTCAACGGTTCAGATTATCAAAACAGGACCCGTGATGAGCCTCCACAGATCCAACAGTACGGTCCAGTCTGATTAAGGACTGTATAGAAGCCATTCCCATTAGAGAAATATAAAATATTGTTGAGACATTAATGTCATCATTACCCACCTAGAAAAATGTATAATCATACAATAATGTTGCTTATTTAAAAAATTTATTGAGAAAAATACTCAAATTTTAAAATTTAAAGATAAAATGGTTTCTGATTGCAACCTTACATTAAAAAATTTTAATTTCGCAAATTTCAAAATTGAAATAGTTTTCAATTGATAATCATTTTGCACAAGAAAAAAAAAAAAAAGGGAAATAAGAATAGAAAGACCAGCCTGTCGTTTTTGTGGATATGACCCACAGTATTAAAGAATCTGGTAAACCGAAAATTAATCAGATTGCTTTAACCCAAAAATTAAATAAAATGGAATGGTGGATGCAAAATATTGTACAAAATAACAAAATTTATAATTTTTTTTAAATTTTTTTTTAGGCATGACATATAATAATGTAATTTTATAATTAAAATAGGATTCACATATTAACAAAATTTATAAATTTTTCTTACTCCCAAATGCGATATACAGTAATAAAAATTTAATACTTAAACGATACCCACTAGAATATCATGAGGAGTTTAAAAATTTTGTAATTTATTTCAAGTTATTCGTTGTGGGTTCTTTATGAATAAATTTAATGTCAAGATGATTAAAATTTTATAATAAATTTACTTATTTAGCGTGACACCTTACATGTCATTCATACATTGAAGGTGTGATCCATTAATTGCACTGGTACATTAATGATATATTTTATGATAAACAAATTTAATACAAAAATTTTAAGTCATTGCTATTTTTGGGAAAATGTTGTACAAATTAATGATTTTTTTTACTAACTAATATCTCATAATCATAAAATTTTAAAATCTGAAACAAAAATGTTGTACAAATTAATGATTTTTTTTACTAACTAATATCTCATAATCATAAAATTTTAAAATCTGAAACATAACCCACTTTAATAATATGATACTTGTTGAATCACAGATTGAGAAAAAAATTATTAATTTCCTTTGGTGCGACTTATGAGACTATCTATCTATATATATATATATATATATTGTTGAGAATTTATATTAGAGTGTTTGATATAATTTCTATTTTAATATCTCATAATCATAAAATTTTAAAATCTGAAACATTACCCACTTTAATAATATGATACTTGTTGAATCAAAGATTGAGAAAAAAATTATTAATTTCCTTTGGTGCGACTTATGAGACTATCTATCTATCTATATATATATATATATATTGTTGAGAATTTATATTAGAGTGTTTGATATAATTTCTATTTATAATTTATGAGACAAATTAATTAATAACATTTAACTTCTGTTTTCTAATTATTAATTTTACAATTTTTATTTATCGGAACTTAGGATACCAATCCAAATCGAACCATAAAACCACTTATTAGGTTTGATATCTTTCACATCAAACAATACATAATGGGCCCAAAATAATTGTGAAAACCTGAAACTTGTCCATCATGCATAGCACAATTTTATTTACCTCAAAGCTTCTATCTCTATCTCATAAGCAAATATCAAAATACCAAATATAATAATTGATAACAAATGACTTTTTTTGTTATCAAAAACAATAAATATATCATTCAAAGTATATCCATCTATCTCCCATTTTCATCATATCTCACGCAATGGAAACAAATGGGCCAACCTTAGTCAAACATTTGATAAAATGCTAGTAAAATTGAAAAATAAAGTAAAGCAAATAGATAAAAACCCCATATAAGACAAAGTGATTAATCTGATGAACAGGGGGTTCTCTTATGAATCATCTAAGTTTAACTTTTATTGTCAATTAAATTTAGATTAGCCTCCGTTTGGGAAGTGAGTTGACTTTTTAATTTTTTGACTTTTTTAGTCTGGGCTCAAAAATTTGATTTGGGAAGGACTTTTTGACTTTTTAATTTTTTTGACTTTTTTGTGTGAGAGAAGAGTGTAATAATTATGGGTTCGATGTGATGTTTTGTTTATTATAACTAAAATAACTTATTTTATCTTTTATGACTAAAATAGCCCGAAACTAACTTGCCAAATGGACCCTGAATGTGTCAAAAAAAACTTTAAATATAATATCAAAATTGGATCTTGAGTCGTTATCAGTGTTCAAAATTTTTAGGTGTTAGAAATTTATCTAGCAATTGTTTAGCCCAGAGTAGTCTAGACGCCTAAAAAAAAATGGTTAGATATTTCTAGAGTACCATGCAGTATTTATTTATCTAACATTTTTGGTCAATAAAAAACTAAAACACATATTAATTGAGTTACTTTTTTTTCGCTTAACTACCTAATAAAAGTGATTCAACATATTTCACTTTCAAAATTTTTGATTGATTTAGGCTTGATTTGACATATTTTAAAAAAGTCAAAAAGTCACATCATCTTATTTAAGTCATATCACCTCTCTACCACATCATTTCAAACCCAACTTATATTTTATAAAAAGTCAAAAAGTACACTTATTTAAAACATCTCAAACAACCCTTTAAAATACCACATAAATAATACCAAATGACATTTCAAAATTACTGAATAATTACTCCCTTTAAATAACTTTGTAAGCAAGAAACCTTCAAATTAAATTAATCTCAAGTCAATTGGGCTTAACGTGTAGGAAACTCCAACTAATCTCTAGCCGGCTCACCCCAAAAAAACATTTCTCTCTCTTTTTCTATATATAATTCTCATTTCTCATATGCGTACCCCCACTATATATCCAACTACTACTACTACTATTAGTATTACTATTACACACCAACTTACCACTTAAACACAATTTTAGCCACCATGGCATCCAAGGAAAAGGTTGCTCCGCCACCGGAAGCTTCGGAAAAATCTGCCCCGCCGCCAGAAAACATCCCTCCGCCTGCCGTCCCTAAATACTTCGTGGTGGGTGATGTGGTTCTAAGGTTTTTGTTGTTTGCGGCGACAGTGACAGCAGTGGTGGTAATGGTCACTAGTAAGCAAACGCAACCGACTTCTCCCCCGGCAAAATTCAATCACTCACCAGCCTTCATGTAAGTTGTTTATATGCAAACACTACTGCACTTATATGATAGATATTGCTTTTATGGATTTAGAAAACATAAAGTTGTTTGATTTAATTTTTGAAAATTATTTTTTGATTTCTTACTCTTTTTTTTTGTTTTGTTTTTAGTCATTTTTTTAAACTTCACATTTTAACTAATTTTATTACTTTTTAAATTCACCTAATCTAAACTACACCTAAAAGAGAGTAGATGTGAAGAAATATAAAACAGAAATTGTTTTACATATATTTTACTATTGAATTACATCTAACTATATATATACATATATCTAAAGAGAAGAAGTTAAAGTATGAAAAAATTTCACTAAAAGCAAAATAATACAAAAAAACAAGAAGTAAGAAAACAGTTTTGAGCTAAACCAAACTACTATTAAGAAAGAATATTTTTTGTGGTACTGATTTATGTTTTAAACTGGAACTTGCTGAGAATTCAAGCTTCTATGTATAAAGAGCATCTTTATATTTTTTTATATTGTAACTTTTTAAAGTAAATTTATTTATTTTTTTAAAATTTATTCTTGTAACTTGAATTTGAATAATTTAGACCACAGTCGAAAAGAATCTAGCTCACCCCATTTTCTAACAGCTTTTTGAGTAATTTTTTAAAGCTTGTTTTGAAAAAATTCAATTAGTTGCCTTTCATGATAGTGATCAAAATATTCATCTGCAGATAATCTTCAAAAAAAAAATAAATAAATAAAAATTGTCCTTTCTTGGTGTGTTTGTTTAGACGGACTAAATATGAGAAGATTGTAATCCACCAGACTGTTAATCTTGGGATACATTATCCTCAGACTATTTGATTGAACTATTCTATTGAATCATATATTTGTTTAGTCATGAATTAGATATTTCGATTAGACTATTCTATTGAATCCGATGTGTATCTTATGTTATTTAATTTTTTTACTAAAACTTATAAAAAAATTAAATAAATAGAACATCAATACAAATTATATAAATTTATTTTAATTTTTAGTTAAATTTTTTTTAATTCTATTTTAATTTGAACTTTTAAATAAATTGAACTTTTAATTTTATTTTGGATTGAATAAATTGAAGTTTTAAAGGGGGATTATATTCTATTAGACTCTTAATTTAATTTAATTTAATTTTTAGTTGAGATTTTTAAATTTTATTTTACTTTACTAAGTATAATTAAAAATAATATAAATAAAAAATTGAGGGCTAAAAATGTCATTTTAACTTTCCAACCCGGAAAAAGAATTATCCCACCCCTCATGGGATACAATAATTCCATAAATAAGGGATTGATAGTCCGGTTGGATATTCTTCTGCTGATAATCTTCAAAAAAAAAATAAATAAATAAAAATTGTCCTTTCTTGGTGTGTTTGTTCAGACGGACTAAATATGAGAAGATTGTAATCCACCAGACTATTAATCTTGAGATACATTATCCTCAGACTATGTGATTGAACTATTCTATTGAATCGTATAGTTATTTAGTCATGGAATTAGATGTTTCGATTAGACTATTCTATTGAACTTTTAATTTTATTTTGGATTGAATAAATTGAAGTTTTAAAGGGGGATTATATTCTATTAGACTCTTAATTTAATTTAATTTTTAGTTGAGATTTTTAAATTTTATTTTACTTTACTAAGTATAATTAAAAATAATATAAATAAAAAATTGAGGGCTAAAAATGTCATTTTAACTTTCCAACCCGGAAAAAGAATTATCCCACCCCTCATGGGATACAATAATTCCATAAATAAGGGATTGATAGTCCGGTTGGATTATTAGTCCAACTTATATTTTTGAACCAAATTTTGGACTATCACATATAATAGACATAAAGTCGCATCTCATACTCTAATCTTCCCAAACAAACACCCCCTCTGTTTATTGGAATTGACAAACTTACAATCAATTTCGCTATAGAAACCTGAGAAAGTATTTGCAAGGCTCACAAGACCCATATGTGCTGTAACTGATAGATAGGTGTACATGTTACACGAAAGACTTTGTCAAGAAAATCCGAGTCTAAATGAACATCTATACATGTGATGCAGATACTTTGTAGCTGCACTCTCAGTTGCTGGGCTATACAGCATTATCACTTCTCTGCTATCCGTCTTTGCACTCCTCAAGCCACGTTGCTCATCAAAGCTCTTGTTCCATTTTATAATTTTCGATGTGGTAAACTCTTGAAACCCTTTTTGAGTACTTGCTCTCTATGATTATATTATAGAACACATGGACATGAACACAAGCATGTAATATGACACGTACACAATACAGACTCGTAGACATGTAAATTTTTATAAAATTGGACACGACACTTGGGCATTTGTGCAAAAAAAAATAATGGGCAGCTCCAATAAGCTTTCATTCTTGAACAAAAATCTAATTTTGATTTATTCATCTAATCTTTGAAGATTATATATTTATTCTCTGTCAAATACTACTCCGGACAAAGAAAAAGAAAAAAAAAAGGGACACAACATATCTTCAATGTGTTTCAAAGTGTCCAAGTCTTCCCAAGCTTGTTCGATTGTAAACAAAAGAGAACAATTCCTCCAACATGTCCGACACTTGTTTGGAGCATGTCTGGTGCATGTCAATGTCTGCATTTGACATGTGTCAGACAACAGTACATGACGTTCAGAGAGGTGTCTGTTCTTCATAGATTATATTTGATAACGGTCTCAAATTGGCCCATAATACATTGCCCATGGTGCAGCTCATGTTGGGTATTGTAGCTGCGGCAACAGGAGCTGCAGGGGCAGTGGCATACCTCGGATTAAAAGGTAACTCTCACCTACAATGGACCAAGATATGCAATGTCTATGACAAGTTCTGTCGACACATAGGAGCTTCCGTTGCAGTCTCGCTTTTCGCTTCCATCATCCTAGCACTGCTCATCATACTCTCTGCTTATTCTCTCTCCAAAAAGATCCCCAAGTAGAGTCTCTGGTGTCAGGACGGAAATCCGAGTCCCAGAAACAGGCATGCTCTGCTAAGTTGTTTGGTGCAAACTAGACCTAGTGTTGTTTCACTTGTGTGTGTGTGAAAGTTTGATTGTGCTGTGGTTAGCAAAAATTTGTATGTGTATTTATGTGAAAATTGTCAGTATTCTGATACATAGTTGAACTACAGGGGTATATTTGTTGGCTCTAATTGCATGTTGCGTGTGATTTTGTGAAATACAAGTCATTGGCCCTGTTTGGTGCAACGCATAGGATTGCTTATATATATTTATTTTGAAAATTTGTGCTAGATACTTTGTGCAGCTTATACTTACTTCTTATGAGGTAAAAATATCATGTAAGTTCAACAAACTGATTATTGAAAAGAAGGGAAATGGGTGGTGTTGGCTTCTGTTTTCTGATAATAAAGTTCAGCTGGCAAGAATATGCACTAGACAGGCCTATCGAATATCACCCTAATCCTATCATATGTGCAGTTGTTGTCTACTTGTGACACTGGCTATAGACGTCAATTCAAAAAAGGGATATGTAGTAAGAGAATGGCTTCTCTCCAGTCCAGTCCCAAGCACCAGATGGTGCCATGTCAGCATTTTTCTTTTTATAAATCAAAGGCCTAAATTTGTTTACCCACACATAAAATCCATTGATCCATCCGATATTGGGTTGAACTTTTTGGTTGAGTTCAAATTTGGATTTTTATGTGATGGTTAAATATGGACTTTTGATTCTTAAAAATGCTTACATGGCACTATCTAGTGCTCGGACTAGATTCTCCAGTTTGGGGGTAACATCACAATGTCCACCCATAGTTTTAAATTCAATCTAGCAACCGTCAATCAGGGCCACTCCTAATTCTAATAGCCAATAGAATAAATTCATATGGTTTGCTCTGATCATACTATGAGTTGACCTAAATCAATTTAGTAATTTGTGTTATTCAAGAAGAACATTTGAATTCCTCCTTTGTCTAGACCAGAGAAAGTAACCTAAATCACTATAAAGCCTGCATCACAAGCACAATCAACCAAGGGGCATTCCAGTGAAAATAGCTATTAGGAGATCACAAAATCAAGATAATATAAATTAGACAATTATAGAGGATTCGATGCCAATAAGAAAGCTCAATTTTTCTTGGGAATGTGTCACTTTGCTATATTTTAGGAGATTTATTTTAAAAGCAATGCAAGATTTTTTGAAGATATATTTGAGGATCTAGAGGGGAATATGGGATACTATTTGTTATTTATCTTCCTTTTGGACTTCAGTTTCTTCTCCTTTTATGGGATTCCTTTCTTTTTGATTAGTGTTGATTGGAGGGTTGTGTATGGTTTGTAATTTTTTTTTTTTTTTTTTTTTTTTTTTTTTTTTTTTTTTTTTTTTTTGACTTCCTGTCCTCCACCCTCTTTCATATTTTCTCTTTTAATTATAAATAAAATTACCTTGTTGCTATTAAAAATAAATAAATAAGATACCAATATAGGCATTCTTCAATTTACAGCACAAGTTCACCAAAAGGGGCACAAACATATATGAGCATAATATTGAAGAATGACTAGGCATTCCCAATATAAATTTGTTTTGAATGTTGCAAACTTTTCCAAAGACCAATCATTTGCAAGAGAAAAGAACTGCATACCTTAAACACACTGTGGGACAAAACTGGTATATTCAATCGAATATTCAAATTCACAAACTTTTACAACCTATAATTCCTGATCACCCTCTCAAAGTATTCTTCCAATGTGTCCTTCCCATAACTTGGTGTTTTCTCAGCACTGTAATCTCCGGTCTCAGGATCCAAAACCAACATGCTCTCAGCAGCATAATACCTCCCGATTTTCGCAAACTCAGCAACATCTTCCATAGAAGGAAATATTCTAACAATAAAATCAAGAACACCGATAACCAAATCCATTATTTGCATTGGCACTCTAAAAAATTTGGGCTTTTTTCCTAGAATTCTAAACAGCATCTCCCCCTTATCAAATGGCGTCAACGCGTTCCCCGGCCCACCAATGGGCAAAACCCTGTTAATCTTATCCTCACTCAACATGCAATCCACAATAAATGAAGCCAAATCAGGCTCACTAATCGGCTTTGAAGCACACAAATTCCCATCCCCAAACACAACATAAGGCTTCCCATTTTTCAACATTTCTATCTGTCCAACCAGACTCTTGAAAAATGCCGTTGGCCTCACAATGCTGTAAGTAAACCCGTCATCTTCCTCGGCTTCTCTCATCAATTCAGCCTCGAATTTCAGCTTTGCACGCTGAAATTCGAGAAGGGGCTTTTGTACACAAATTGCAGATAGCAAAACAAAATGCGAAGCCCCATGGTTCCTACCAACAACAAGATTGTTCTTTGTTGCCTCATAATCAATCTTCCATGAATCTTTGACACCACCGGTTCGACTAGCAAGGCAGGACACAACAACATCAATTGAAAACCCTAAATTCTCAACACTTTTTTCTAAACAATCCAATTGGGTCACATCTGAAAAGCACACATTTGCCCCTTTTAACTGTTCTAAGGTATCTTCTTTGCTATTTCTAGCCCCAACACCACTCCTTTCCCTGGCAATGGCTACAACATTAAACCCTTTTTTAACTAACTCTTTAACAACCAAATTTCCAATATACCCAGTTGAACCCACAACCAAAACGTTAATATCTTTAGGGTTTTTGTTTCTGAATGAAGTTTTGGGGGTTTCAACAGTCTCTGTGGTTGAGGCTGTGATAGGTTTGAGTCTTTCTCTGCTAACTAACTCTTTAACTACAAAATTTCCAATACACCCGGTTGAACCCACAACAAATACATTAATTTCTTTAGGGTTTTTGTCTCTGAATGAAAATTTGGGGGTTTTAACAGTTTGGGTGGTTGAAACTGAGATGGGTTTGAGTCTTTCTCTGCTAAATTTACAGGGTTTTGACAAATTTAGAGGAGAGAGTGAGTGTACCTGAATTTGATTGATGGAATGACAAGAAAGAGGTATCGTGAAGCTTTGACCCTTTGGTGATTGGAGTGTGAATCGATTGAAGGGTACACAAATGGACATCTCGAGTTCAAGAAGACAGTAGTTAGATAAAATGGGTTGTGGTAAAAATTAGGAACATCCCATGAAAAAAGAAAGTAATGAATCGATCAAAATGTGAGTTGATGGAAGAGTGTGGTGGTGTTTCACGGCTGTTGAGACAGCTACTACAAATATTGTATAGTTTTACCACTCCTCTTTTATTTTTCTTTATTTCATTTTTGTTTTTAATAATTTAAAATTTTAATTTTATCATTCAATTATTTCAAGAATGTGAAATTGATATTAATATCTTAAAGACATTTCAATTACACAAATTTCAATAAAAAAGAATGTGAATTTGATATTAGTGACGAACATCATATAGTATGCCACATTAATTAGATATATTAATTAGTCTGTTAACTCCAACCGTGATATTTGTAAAGGTAAATAAACTCTAAAGCATAAATATGCAAGTCATAAAAGGTCAACCACTGATCGCAAAATTATGCTAACAAACAAATACAAATGATTCACAACTCAAGTTTAGTCCGGCCTTATAGCCTAAATACTTATTCTAAACCCAAAAACATATAAGGCTCATTGGACTTACACAATCTGGAAAATAACAGTAATTCTATAAACAAGTAAAATTCTCATATAGAAGTGTGAAGGATGGATGTAGTTGTCAAGACTGTATTCTTTCTCTTGGAAGATACTTTGCATCCCACATACAATTCAGTGCACTGTTACAGTATAGGAAGAACAAAAAATCAAAGCACCCTTCACTAAGTACACAGATCACCTCACAACATTTCTCAAAGTTTTGATTCTACAAATGCAAAAAATGGGTAATTCTCAGTCAATTATTAATCAAACTGAAGAAGATGCAAAGAAATACAACTGTTTGTTGTTTTTTTTTTTTTTTTTAAATTTTTCTTGTTTTGGGTTTTTATGCAAAAAATGGAAGGGAAAAAAAAAAAAAAAAAAAAACGAAAATACAACCAACAGAGAGTTTGCAGGGACAAATTCTGTCAACAGCAGCGGTATATAAAGACAGGTCGACGCCTCGGAGGTGGGCTGCAGATGATGAAGATGACAATGGCAAGAACAATCAGAACTAGAACTCCCTTGAGATCTAAAAAACCATCATCATCAGATTCAGAGCAACAGAGCTTCCCCATGGCCAAACTCACCACTTCTTCAAGCTTTTTTGTTTTACTTGTTTCTCTTCAAGTTTTGGGTGATGATAGAATGAATGACATGGTATATAAAGAAAGAGTAAGAGAGACCTCCAAAACATTACTCCAAATTTAGGGGTCAAGTTTTTAGTTAGCTGACTTCTAAACAAATCAATAATTGATAAAAGTTGGTTATAATCATCTTCTCAATATGGGGGATATTTTGAGAGTTTAAACATTTTTTAGTAAAGGTAATTGGATTGTGGTGCTTTTGTTTATTCTTGGTGATCCACACAGGTAACTTAACCAATAAAAAGATCAACTTTAGAGTGAATTATAAGCTCAGACATCTTAGACTAAGTTTGGCACGTGTTCAAAAAGTTAAAAAGTCAAACAGTTTTTTAAAAAGTTATCACTATTTATCAAAAGTCAAAAAGTACGACTACACAACTTTTAATTTTAATTTTCTCCTACACACTAATTTATACATTTTTTTAATATACATTTTTTCATAAAAAGTCAAAAAATTAACCCAAATAACAAACAACAAAAAATTAACCCCAAAAATTAACCCAAATAACAAAAAATTTATCACTATTTTTTTCCTCAATTTTTTAGTCTAAAAAATTAAAAAGTACACTTATTTAAGACATTACAAACAACCACTTAAATTTAACTTTTATAAATGTCTTTTAAATTTAACTGATATCTATGATTTATGAATAATTACAAAGTATTCAAGATTTAATATGTGTGAATGGCCCAAAATGTAAATTTGAGAAGGTTCATAATAATAAATTTGTGGTTGGTGTCTTTTGGTTAACAAACCACTTTTGACTTATTCATTGTTTGGTGGAATTGGGAGCTTCCATTGAATAGGCATGTGATTTCTTTGAATATTCGTCTTGACTTTTATGGTCTTTTATAATTTTACTTACCATGTATTTGGTTAAAAGGTTTGAAAAAAAAAATAAATAAAAGAATAGGTAAAATATAAATAAAATATATTTATATTTCATCTATTTTTATACACTTTTTTTTTTAATCTCTTCTCAAATCTCTCAACCAAACACAATGTTAAGAAATTTTGATCCTCTATTTAAGTCAATAATTTATAGAAGAAAAACATAAAAATTGCTTGTTATATTTCAAGAGAGCAATTCTTATATTAGTTTGTGAATATAAGTATTAATGATGTCACACTAATTTAAATTAAAAAATTATGTAGTAGTAGTCTTGAAACAGGATAGTAGCACGTGCATATAGTGCTCCCTATCAATGAAACCTTATAAAAAAAAAATGAATAAAATCGATTTTATCTCTCATCTAGTTAATCAAGATAAACTAATTCAACTTTATCTATCCCGTGACTAGTACTGTTAAAAGTGAAAACAATGAGTGATACTATTGATAAATAAACAAGAAAAAGTCCCAAACCCTAACATCAGATGGCTTCTTTCACTTGATAATTAAATCAACTAGTAATTCAAAGTGATTATGGGTTTGTTTTATTTTCAAGCTTGGCAATCGAACTTAATAATAAGTGACAATTAATGAGCCAGTGATGAGATCCATCAGTAGATCACAAAAATAGGTGACAATTAATATGTTTGGCTGCCCTCATTGATCTGTAATTTAACTCATCAAGTAGTTAGTTTAGCACATGCTGCAACTATTCTAAGCAGTAACTCATCAACTGCTCATTGATGTGTCCACTCATAAGCAGTAACTCATCAACTACTCATTGATCTGTCCACTCATCAAGGTGCGCGGGCACATTTTGTATCTTTTGTACACTTTTTACGTGTCTATGACAAAATTGTACTTTTTAATCCTTTTCACTAAACAAAGATCATTTGTCACTAATCTCTTTGTTCTTCTGTCTTACTGCATTTCTAACCGAACAATCTTATGAAAATCTCAGAGAATGGTTGTACGGTTGACAATTTGAAAGTGTTTGAAGTCATAAAGGTAAAAAAGATTTGACAAAAGATCCCATATCTTTTCGTCATGTCTTGCAACCTATCGAATGGCACTAGATTCTTTTGTTGTCTATTTTTATCACTATATATTTGCATTCCACAAGGCATATACCCCACAATCAACCAAACAATAGCTAAAACCAGACTATACTTCATACAATCACATCCAAACAAGACCAATCTTCATTGGAAGTAAAAGGAGAAAGTTCACATCCTCAATTTTCTCACCATTAACCAAGAATTACAAAGACGAGATGCAAAACATATAATCACAGTGAGCATGAGACTGTAATTTCATACAAATGAATTTACACCTCCAAAGTCCAATCACATCCCTTGCTCTTATGGTTCTACTCACAAACCAAGGTTAAGATTCTCTGCTCCGGAGTAACTGCAACCAAAAGCAAATATGTATCATCCAGTTGTATGACAAAGACAAGAATCAGCCGGAGTCGATGATCACCTCAATCGCATTCCATCAAAGAGACTGTGCACATGTTCCAATCTGTGAGTGTAATTCAGAATGAATCAAAATGAGCACCAAGAATTTTTATCATCAACACAAATCCGTGAGCAGGTTCAACTTTTCGCAATTGGATCTCTAAAAAGCTTTACCCTTTCACATGAACTCAATTTGATCTAAAAAAATTGAAGGAGCAGTTATTCAGATACTCCAAGGAATTGAGCAAAGCTCGGGTATTTTGGCTTCCACCCAAGTTCCTTACGAGTTTTCTCATTGTTCAGTTTCTTGCCCAAAGGATCATTAGTGCCTGCAAAATAATCAAATGGTTACATTACAGTCCATAATGCTGTAGGTTTCTTTTACATTGAGCATGAGAAGTAGGACCAGCTACATGTTAAACACATTATAAAAGGTTTAATCTTTTACCAATGTAAGAGTTGTTTTTACATATACGTGCTCAACCCGTACAGACAGTTCAATTGTCATTGGTTCAACCTAAGAAGCATGGATATAGAAGTGGACACATGACACGACATGGACATGCATCCAAATTTTAAAAAAATGCCAAACACGACACATGGGGGCATGTGCAAAACATATAATTTTATATATTTATTATATGTCATATTTTTTAACATTATATATTTATTCTATGTCAAATATTTATTCTCATCAGATTCATCAACTTTGGATATGCTATTCTAGTATAAAAAAAATTTAAATGGTACACGTGTCCATGTCGGTGTCCAACATGTGTCAGACACTGGTACATGACCTTCACCCCAGTGAATAAAACACTACATAAGGATCTAACCTGCAAAACCCTCAAACTTCTGACTGTACTTTCCACTCTTATTGACCAGGTCCATTACTTCCTGCCTGCAAATCAATTCACCAAGTAAGAAAAATTATTCATCAGATTGATGACAAATGATGCTGGTAATTGTAGTACAAATTCATGTAGAACCATTGACAGAGGAGTCACTAAAGTTCAACATGCAAACTAATATCCAAAGAAATAAGAAAAAATTAAACCTGGATAAAGGATGATTGTCACATCCCAGAAAAATCTGGCCCTGAGGTTTCTTCTTCAAGATTGCTACCAAGAGGGAAGCTGCATCCTTTTGTGGAAATACACAAGCCAGGCCAAATTAAATAAGTGTGACACCAAATTTAATATATCAATGTGAAAACACAATTGAAAACACATAGCATAATTTTGGAATCCATGAAAATGTATAGAAGAAAGAAACCCCAAGGGGTTTGGCTTAATGGGTGAAGAAAGCAACCAATACCACCCAAAAGATCGCAGATTTGAAACTCATGAAGGCCAAACATCTCAAACCTTACTGGAGGTTTGCCCGGTCGTTAACTTCAGGGCCCCGGGATTTAGTTGAGGTGCGCATAAGCTGGCCCGAACACCCAAGTATCAAAAAAAAAAAAATTGTATAGAAGAAAGACACAGAAATAACATCTGAAACAAAGCATGATAGCATAAAGCGTATTGGACAGACTGCTCAAGTAATTCATACAAGAGGATAAACAAATACGCAAAGGTAAATACTGTTAGAATTTACCATAAACCTACCACCACTACCACCTCACCTACTCCACTAAACCTAACCCACTACACCACTACCACCTCCACTTCTCCACTAAACCTAACCCACCACCTACTCTCCACCTACTTCACCCACTCTCACCTACTCCACTAAACCTAACCCACCACCTACTCTCCACCTACTTCACCCACTCTCACCTACTCCACTAAACCTAACCCACCACCTACTCTCCACCTACTTCACCCACTCTCACCTACTCCAAACACATATATGTATCTCATGGCTCACATTTTCATAAAGGATATGTAAAGTCCTGCCAATCTAAGAACACAACCTCCATACTCCAGCACTATTTTTTCTGCTTTCAAAAGGACATCTGTCCTAGGGTTCCTCCCAATTGGTACTGATGGATTATCCTGTATAGCCATGCAGAAGAATGTATGTTAAAATTCCGTGACACCAGACAAAAGACAACGTATTCAACATTTCCAAAGTTTGGCAAATTACAAGTCCTGTAATAATTATCACAAAGAATGATTCTCATGAACTAGACCAGGTACAAAATTAATAAATTGTTGTTCCAAATTACTAATAAGCAGAAATATAAATTAAAAGATAACAAAAAACCCATGGGTAAACTCTCAAATTGTTAGAAGCTTACAGCCCAATGGATTACCCATCACTATGATTCTGCACCAACCAAACTAGAGTGGAGAAGACCTTTAATAGGTGAAAAAGGAAGTAACAAGAACATTGTACACAAGCAAGCGTTTTCACTTTTTTAACTGGGATTCACCATCATTCCCAAGATAATAGAATTATAAAAACCTCACAAGAACAAAAAGAAAAATAGGTTTGGAATCTAGTTAGAAAATTGCCAGAATAAATTCAGATGATGTGCACAGATCTCAAATTCTGCAGGGAAAGGTCTCTGACAAAGTAAGAAGAACAAAACTGTCACCAGCAAGAAACAATGAGTTGTGTTAGATGTAACACCTCATCACATGGTCCATTGTCACTGCAATCATATGGCGCAGAGCTTGAAGTAAATACAAAAGAACCTTCCCCACTCCAGCTTGATGCAGCTTCCCTGGTTGTTGTTAAGACAATCCAAACCAGCAACATAAGTTTAAAATCGTTGTCTTACTTTGTTAGATCAAAAGAGTAGAAATGTAAACTCAGGTTGAACAAATTGAATGCCAAAAAAGAAGAAAAAAAAAGTAAAACGAGTTGCTGCGAATAAAAATCTAAACATCAACACCATATTTTTTGACCTGATTGCAGTGACAGTATCAGCAAATGACAGTAAGTTTTAATTTCCCATGATCTACATCGCTTACACAGTAACATCTTCATTCCTCTTTGAGGATTGGATATACATGCAAATAAGCATAATAACCAAATGTTAGCATGTGTCTTTAAAATAGACACCCATTTCCTACTTTGTATTCTATTCATTTCCAAATACTACTTTAACCTTGTAATCCACCTGGATCACCAATGAGCAAATGACACTAACGACGTGCTTAAGTTCTATTATTCCTGTCCACACATTTCTGATTTACATAATGAAACCAGAAGGCCAAACAACAATTCTCTCTTTTGTTTCCAATTACCAAAAGGACAAATGATTGTCTATTGCTGCAGTGGACACATCCAGGTTGGATTAGTTCTCCAATTTAATCAAAAGAGTTGGAGAAATAGTCCAGTCCAGAACCATCAAATTAAACTATGGGTGTTTAACGTAAAGTTAGAATATCTATCATCGAGATCTGGATGTTTTCTACATAAAAATTCCAAACTAAGAAGACATCAAGCTTTGGGAGGAACAGGTCGTAATTGACCCGAATGTTTTGCTGAAAGAGAGGTTTAAAGATCCTGGTGTGGCACAATTTTCCACTCGTAACTTTCTTCTCATTTCATGAGTTTGTTTCCCTTCAAGTGATCTCTGAAACTTGATTGGTTTCTCAAAACAGTTTGTGCTTCCTTTTGTCTTAACCTATTTGTCAAACAAGGATGTATGGTTCAGAGTGAATGTAATTCAAGCACCAGTCATTCATTACAAAGGTGCACTAGTAATTCCTACTAAAAGAAGGTAACAGAAGCATGCCTGTTCAATGGAATCACAACGGTAGAATAGAAGTTATCTATAATGAAATTTGAGAGGTCACAATCCTCATGCATACCTGACGTCACCAGGATAGTCCAGGGTTCGGGATGGAGGAGCACAGAAAACCACATATGGAAACCTATGAGTTGCTTTTGTTCCCTTCAATGATGGATTGATCCCAATTTTGATCAACTCATCATGGTGATCTGTAGTCGCTGTCTGCCCAAAAATCTGAGACCCTGGATGATCCTGCCCACAACAAAAGAGACATAATTGAACACAACCCATTAAAACTAGTTCAAAAAAAAAAAGTTTAACATCTACTCAAATTTATACATCAAGAAGCATATCCAAAAAGCTCGGATACTGTAAAAAATTCAATGTATAAAGAGAAATAGAGAAATGTATTATTGATTGATGTATTGTTGTCTATTACAATGATTCATGATTCCTATATATAGAAGAGGGTGAGTGTGTAGTAGGTAAGGAGTAGGTGAAGTGGAGGTGGTAGTGGTGTAGTGGGTTAGGTTTAGTGGAGTAGGTGAGATGGTAGTGGTGTAGTGGGTTAGGTTTAGTGGAGTAGGTTTAAGTGGGTGAAGTAGGTGGAGAGTAGGTGGATTTTAACAGATACCAACAACCAACAACCAACTACAGATAAGGAACATGAAGATGCAAAAGGATTAGACCAGAGTCATGCCCATATACACAGATAATTCAGATAGTATAATCACCCGAATTATACCTCCTGCCATTTTTCAGCTACTAACCGCCCAAGAACACCTGGTCCAACAATCAGCAAATCATTGGCTCCGACCAAACCAGGAGAGGAAGCATTGAGTGCTTCATTTGCTGCACCTTCAGCATCCAAACATAAATAATTGAAAATTGATCAAGCCAAAAATGGAAGAAAGAAAACATATTAATAACACAAAATTTTCAGATATAAATATGTACATATAGGGCGAATTACACTTTTGGTCCCTAAACTATGCGAAATTGTATCATTTTGGTACCAGCATTCCAAGGCCATGAAGTTAATGACCGGGTAAACTTCCAGCGGCCCCTTGAGTGACTTGAACTCGAGACTTTGAATCTTATCATCAAGTTTTTACCTCTCGGCCAACCCCCCTTGGGATTTGATACAATTGAATTTTTTATTTTTATTTTTTATTTTTTATTTTATATATATATATATATATATATAACTTTTATTTATTTATTTATATATAACTGGGTATCCGGTTTAGCTTACAAGCAGCTCGACTAAATCCTAGGACCAGCAGTTAAGTTAATGACCGGGTAAACCTCCAGTGGCCCCAAGGTTTGGGATGTTTGTCATTGGATTTCAAACCTGCAAACACTTGGGTGGTAAGCCTTAAGCGTTGGGGTTTGATACAATTGAAATGTTGATGACCAAATTGAGAGCATATTTAAAAACAAAAGTGAAATTTAGCCTAATAAGGATCACTGGAACAAGCTTATGCATCACCAGTTCAAATTTCAGTAGGGAAACCCACAATGCAAGTAAGAAGTTCATACAATCACATGTACAAACTCAAAAAACAGGCTCAAAACAATGTCTATCTCATTTGCATATATCTATATATATATATATATATAGAGAGAGAGAGAGAGAGAGAGAATTGAATACAGACCGATGGTAGAGGACGCATTGACATGCAGGGTTTTGGTCTTGAGTGATGAGAATTTGGTGTTGAAATTAGGGTTCGTGAAGAGAGATAGAAGCGAGTTTGAGCGATTCGAGTTCGAGCCACAGTGAGAGAGCGCAGAGGGAGAGAGCTTCGTCAGAGTGGTAGTGGTCGTCGTGATGAAAGCAATTGCGGTGGCCATGAGAGAGAGAAAGACGGAGGGACGGAGAGAGAGAGAGAGAGAGAGAGGGATTACTTGGGCGTTGTGCCAATTGCAGAGAAACTACGAAGAGACTGGTTTCGGGGAGAATTCTTCTTGGCCAATGGGCGAGTGACACGTACGCTGTGAAGAGATCGATCTTGTTTTTATTATTATTAAATGTGAAATAAAATGAGAGGGCAAATTACATATTTCTCTCTTGAGATTTGACTAAATTATAGATATCTCTTGAGATTTTAAAAATTATATCTCGCTCCTTAAGGTTTGTATTTTCATAACAATTTATTCTCTGAGATTTAAATTTCATAACAAATTACCTCCTAATTTATTATACAAATATAGCATTCAGGGAGGAATTTATAATTTCTCAAACTTCAGGGGAATTTGTAATTTAGCCAAACCTTGAGGGGTATATATAATTTGCCAAAAATAATATTTAACAATAATTAATATGATGTTTTTAGTATTTGATGATACTTTCGTAGTTGGAAGCTCCAAATGGAACGGGTCAGAATGATCTATACTTCCTAAGCCGTTGCCCGAGGGTTGAACCCACAGAGAATACCTGCAAAAGAGTTCAACGGGGAACGTGGAGTCCCCTAGCGAACCCTTCGACGAACAAGTTAGAGAGGTGAGGGAGATGAAGATGTAGGAAGAGAATGGAGATACATAACTTAACCTTCTCTTTGTCTTAGAAACCTGCTTATATTTTTTGCTCATCATTTCCTCGCCTGCCCCCACCTGTCACGTTGGTCGAAAGTCTACGTTTTAGCTTGCCTTGTTCATGGTGAAGTCGTTCAGCCCCGACGTGAAGGGGTTATCGTATTAAATGCAGAAGTAAAACTCATTAATAGTTGATGTGTGGTATAATAACTTTGCAGGATCTTTGTTTGCTTATGTGGCTGGTTCTTCTCTTGACAGGTGTTCTGATGCCATTGGTCCCGAGTGTAATGTTGGGCCCTAGCAATGTTGGGCTTTAGTGTTTGAATTATGTATTGGGCTCTAAGTGGTTGGTCAATAGTCCTTGTAGGCCTACATACGTCAGTAGTCCCCTATTCCCGAGTGCAGCTTCAGTCCAACGAAAGGAATAAGATAGAAGGGAGTAAGGGTAACCGAGTAGGAAGGTGGACTGAGAGGAGGGTCGACCGCTAAGGGTAATCGAGGGGGAAGGTCGACTGAGAGGAAGGCCGACCGCTAAAGACGACTGAGTGTGGAGGGGAAATGGCAGCGCACGGGGCTCGAGGTGCGGTGTAGCATGTGATGTTGTGAAGTGGAAAAGACAAGGGAAAGGAAAGGAGTAGGGATCGTGGTCGTACACGTGGCGTAATCCTTTAGTTGGGGAGGTGACGCGTCAGTGCGAAATGAAGGGGCAGGGTGATATAGGGTAGTGAAAAGGGAGGGACGGGAGTTTTTCGAAATATTTCAAACTGGCGAAGTTGAATCTTGACCCTTGGAATACGGGTAAGCCGTAGGCCTTTGGGGTTATCCGTTTTACTTATTTTTTCACAAAAAACCAACACATCCTTGAAGTGAGCTGATTTGCCCCGTACGATACGTCTCTGCAACGCTTTGCAAACTTCCTTGTACTAGCGTCCGAAGCAATACGTAAATACGTAGGAGAAATGGTTGAAAAAGAAGTGTCTGCCGCAATGCTTGATCCGTTGGGTGATGACGACGTAGTAGACTTGGCAGAACGATATCGGGTAGAGCGGAGGGAGGGGGAGGGGGGCTGGTCAGGTTGTGCGGGCCCCTCCTCCTCTAACGACAATGATCATGGCTGCTAGGCCTATAAGCCAAGTGGAGCCGGACCACTAGCACACCAAACCAGACAGAGCTACATTCACAGCGGGGGAGTTGGAAGAGGTACAAAGGAAGTATCAAATTTCGGTAGAGATAGAGTTGAGGGTGCCCACTTCTAAGGAGAGGGCGTTAGATGCGCGGCTGACAGAGTTCGCACTGTACGAAGAAGCGTTGCGGGCAGGGCTGAGGTTGTCTATCCCAAAGTTAGTGGCAGAGATACTTAATCGACTGGAGGCAGCGCTGGGGCAACTAATGCCCAATGCATGGAAAATTGTAATGGCCTGTGCGATCGCGTGGCCACGGGAGACCGACGGATCGGCGATGACAGTCGAAGAGTTCTTTTTATGCTACAAAGCATCCGGTTAGCAAGAGACGTGGGTGACTTTGCAGGTAGTGGCGGACAGGGGGTTATTAGCTAGGCTACCATCGTCTGTAAAGGGGTGGAGGTCGAGGCGGTTCTTTGCATCGGCGAATGGGGCGGAAGGGGTGCAAACGATATGGAAGGTCCCTACGAAGTCGGTGGAGCCGAAGTTGGGAGTGGAAGTAGAAGAGAGGGTCAAGCAGGTGAAGAAGTGGAGGGAGAAGGAGGGTGTCAGATGGGACAACCCAGTCTGCCTTTCAGCCTTATATGCCTTGAGGCTAGGACCACAACTGACTGAAGAAGACCGTGCAGTTAGGGGTGTAATTTTGGCCGGCGGCCCGAAGTCCAACCGCGGCCCGAGATGGGCCCGGCCCGGGCCGTTAAGGGCCTTTTAGGCTCGAGCCCAAGCCCAGCCCGAGGCCTTGGGCCAGGGCCTGGGCCATCGTTTTGAAGCCCGACCCAGCCCGCTTGGCTCGACCCGTGGCCCGCCTATGGGGCCACTTAAGGCCAGCCCAAAAACCCGGCTCGAGGCCCATTGTTATTTTTAATGGAAAATAATAAAATTTTGGTAGAAAAAATTTTAAAAAATAAAAAAATTTGTTTAGGCCCGCCTAAGCCCGCCCAAAGCCCTAGCCCAGGGGCCTGGCCCACTGGCCCGCCCATAGCCCGAATACCCCTGGGCCTAGGCTTGGGCCTGGGCCTAGTTTTTTGGCCCGTGGGCCAGCCCGGCCCGGCCCAATTTTTTAGCGGGAGCCCGTAAGGCCAGACATGGGCTAGGCCAGGCCAAAATTACACCTATACCTGCAGTGGAGAAGGTGGAGGCGAGACGAAAGGCAGAGGAAGTGGAGGAGCGGAAGACTTTCGCCAGAGCTGAAAAGTATAAGGAGGCACAGTTAAGGCCTGCCCCTAAACTGGTGATGAGGGAGCGGATCCGACCGCGTCCCAAACCATTGGGCGACAAAGACTTAGTTGGTTTTGCCCCACTGCCACCACCAGTAGACCCGTTGAAGGAGAGGGGCAAGCAGGAAGTGGAGGCAGTGTTGAAGAAGCCAAAGAAAAGGAGGGTGGTTGTCGAGGGGGGAAAGAACGCCCCTGCCGTGAAGAAGACAAAGGTTGGAGGTGAGGACGTCCCTATGGTGGAGAAGGTGAATAAGGGAAGGGTGGGGACAGCTCCAGGAAGGGAGATCGGCCTTATGGCGAAGGAGGATAAGGGTCCCAGCACCCAAGTGTTGAAAGAAAACTTGAAGACCGCCCAGGTGGCGAAAGAAGATAAGGGGCCAAGCGCCCAAGTGTTGAAAGAACATGCGAGCCCAAGCGCCAAAATAGTGGTGGCAGTGCCTGTACTAGAAGTAACCTCCAACCCTATGGGAGGGAAGACCGGGGCCAGCATGCCAGGGACAGGTGCCACGTTGACGACCGTATTGTACCACGCGCGCGCGTTGGCAGGGCGCTCCGTGGAGGAAGGGGGGAAGCCAGGGCGCCCGACCGCTTGGTTGGAGTGTTGGAGGACGCTGTCGTGCGGTCGATAGCACGATTGGGGGAGGCCGACCTTCTAAGAAGGTTGTGCTCATCCCAAATGGAGGTAGCGACCTTGGCGGCTACTTTGTTGAATAAATCAACACGTATAAAGTTGGAGATAAAGCCGCTAAGGGTTCAGTTGGAAGGGGTGAAGGGGGCAGCTGCAAAAGCTGATGGAGAAGACAGCGAGCTGGAAGGAAAGCGCTTGGATGGCATGTGTATAGGGTGTGGAGTATGCCCAGAAAGCCAAGAAGATGGAAGTGTTGGCGATGGTGCAGGGCTATTCAGCAGAGCGTGCTAATGCTAGGCTTCTCGCGACCAAGTTAGAGCTGGAAACGGAACGCCGCAAGGTGGTATCGCTTGAGTTCCAGTTGGCTGGTGAGCAGAAGAAACTTGAGGAGGCCCAGAAAGCCTGCACCACAGCCAATGAAAGGTGGGATGAGGCCATGATCTGTAATGAAGATCTGCGCGCTCAGTCAATCAAGAAAAAGGAAGAAGCAAATCAGAGGATTGTTAAGTTGGAGAAGGTGCTGGCGGAGGAATAGGCTAGACTGGCGTCTGAGAAAACGGCGTACGTCGACCTATGCATGGCGGCGGTGGAGCAATTCAAGAAGTCCGCCGAATTCCAGATAGCCATCGATATTGCAGTCACCAGAAGCTTGTCTAAAGAAGGGGATGGGGGGCTGGGTTGTCGGGAGCGGCCACTGGAAGTAGGAGCGAAGAAGAAATGATCCAGAGTTTCCAACAGTCGGACTTCTACAAGAATGAGATGGCTGAATTCTGGGACAGCAGCTGGAAAACCTTTAAACATAAAGTGGAAAAGTTGTTCCCAGACTTGGACTTCAGGAGAGTAAAGATAGATGAAAACGACGTTGCCCAGACCCCTCTGGACGAGGGGATTGAGGAAGAGGACCTGGCCTCAAGTGAAGAAGAGTGACTTATGTAAAGATTTTTTTTTTATGTGTAATTTCTGTAGTGAATTGTAGGTAACTGTAAATTTTGTAAATGAAACAACGAGTTTTCTCTTGTACCACTGTTGCCCTTATTTCTTTTGAGTTGTAAGTTTGAAAATAATGAAAATAGCATAGCAGAATTTGATGAAGAACGGCTGTAAAAGTAAGACGTGTGTATGAATTGTGAGACTTACTAGTAGATTGGTATGTTAAAAATTTAGAAGTGGGTAACCAATCTAACTTGTGAGAAAACCATGATACAAAAAGCGTTTAAAAATAGGCATGCCTAAAAATGTTGAAAGCGTTAGAAATGAAATATTGGCTTGGACAACTATGGGCCTAGATTTTAAACGAATTAAAAATGTAGAGTTAAAACTGTAAAGAATGTTAAAAGATCAAGCTCTTCGTTCATGCTTAGTATTGCTGGGG